CTCATGGTATTAATAAATATAAAATTACATTGTTAGAGTTAAGACTTACAGAATAAGGTGATATTATATTATTTCAACGAAAATAATATTATTTTTATTGATGTCAAATTGTTGTGAAAAATATTTAATAAAACAAACTTTGTGGTATTTAAATACTARTATCTAAAGTATGTTAAAAATACTTTTAAAAATTATTCAGAATACTTAAAACATACTTTAAAAAGTATTTTAATACAAATATTCRAATATTTTACAAAACTTCATACAAGTTATTCTTACAACATATAGACAGCATGATAAGCTGGATAGAGATAACAATAACTATTATCACTTATTATTATCTAAAAATGCTGGCCACTAACTAGTATAATATTATAGTATACTTACATGCACAGGTTTAAAAATATAAAATTCGATGGGGGCTAATTTTTTTTTAGATAAAATATAATTATAACTTTAGTAAATTATACGTCACTTAATCCCAGAATCTAAGACCCTCCACGGTGGCTCCACCCGCTTATGGATTTATGATTGCCTATATAATATTTTCACGCGTTTGACAAGAGAGACTGAACTTATCACCACGAATGTTAGGTGTGGTCATCGGAAACCGGAAGCGATGAGATTCGTGTAACCAACGCATTTCGTAACTTTGCGGTGGCARTATTTTAAARAGCACGTGTGAAATAGATTGCGACKGGGACTCACGTGCGTGAAAAACGTATATATTATAGGCGTAATTTGTGATATTGCGTTATTATCATTGTTATTCTTAATGTCGTTATAATAATATAATGTGCCCGCCCACGATAATATTAAAATATATTTTATAGATAAACCAGCCCCGTGAAGAACGGGGTGGCGGTTGCGGTGTCATGGTGCATCCTATATAACAATATTATACGTGTTTTGATAAGGTTAGCGACATTATTATTATTACTGTTGTTATTATTATCATCTTCATCATTATTATTGTGTCGTTTGGAACGAATGAAACGWGAAAAAGAACGRGAATTCTCGACCGGAAGACCGTTCTGCAGACGTTTGTCGAAATCACTTAGAGATATGAATTAATGAGTCCATACTTACGTAAGTCAGACCACTAAATGATAGGACAATGATCGTGGCCCAATATTTATGAATGTTTTTCAAGTAACTTGAATGTATTTTTTTTAAATATATACTCATCTCTCTACGCTCTCTTTGGAACCCAACTCGTGCCTTACTAAAATTTGAAAATTTATTGAAATATACCCATCAAACTTACCATTCGTGAAAATTTGTAGACAAGATTTATGATACCAGAGCATAAAATGTTTAAACTTCAACTCTAAACTTACCCGAATAATTATTATTAGGTACTTGCCAATATTCCGTGGATAGTAGTTGCCTAACTGCACACCATGATGTTCTTAAACTGAAATCGAAAGCTGCAACGAATTAATAAATTACTAGATATTATTAATAATAATTGTTCGTATTTTACAATGCAGGAGGGYATGGGATCAATGAAGATCACACATGGCGGCCTCCGGTTGTCCGGCCGGACATTGGTCACCAATCGGCTGGTAGCGTCGGCGATACGCTCTCGGACCGGACGTCCGCTTCTCATCGAGTCCACTGCTAACGTCACGCTGATT